AGTATCTGAAATATTCTAGACCAACGTCAAGCTGGACACGTAGCCAAGGAAAATCTTGGGAATTGATCCTCCTGCCTCCTCTGCCTCCCTCGTGCTGGAAGTATAGGTGAGCGCAGGGGTTGCTGTTCAGGAATTGGAGGCCCGCACCAGCACACACGTTTATGCTATATGGTGGTAGGCATGGAATCGGGGCTTCTTGCATGCTGGATAAGCTCTCTTGGCTGAATTCTAGCCCCTGAAATCCCTTGCACACACCCTTTTTAAAACGAGGGACCTGTGCAGTGTGGTGGCGGTGCACACTTTTAATCCCAGGCAGAGGCAGGCGGATCTCTGAGTTCAAGGCCAGCCTGGTCTACAGAGTGAGTTCCAGGACAGCCCTGGCTACACAGAGAAACCCTGTCTCAAAACAGAAGAGCAAAAATCAAGGACTTTTTCTTTTTTTTTTTTTTTTTTTGGGGGTTTGGTTTTCCAAGTATATGTATGAGTGTTTTGCTTGAACGTATGTCTGTACCACCACATGCGTGCCTGGTGCCTGTGGAAGTCAGAAGAGGGTGTTGGATTCCCTGGACCTGTTATGGAGTTATAGAGGTTATGGAATGCCATGTGGATGCTAAGAATTGAACCTGGGTCATTGGTGAGAACAACAAATGTTCTAAATTGTTGGTCCCAGAATCATTCATTCATTCATTCATTACATGCCAATCCCAGTTCCCTCTCCCTCCTCTCCTGCTCCCCTCACCTTCCCCCATCCACTCCTCAGAGAGGGTAAGGCCTCCTCTGGGAAGTCAATTAAGTCTATCCCATCCCTACCTTGAGTGATGGCCATCACCAGCCTCCCCTCCCCCCAGGCTGAGTAAGGTATCGCTCCATAGAAATGAAGCCCTGGATTACTTTTTAAAAATTATTATACATTAACTTATTTATTTTGTATGTAGTGGGCCTATGTGCTATAGCACACATGTGGAGGTCAGAAGACAGTTCCCAGAGTCTTTTTCTACCAGGTGGGTTGCAGGAATTCAGTCCAGATCTGGTATCATCAGGCTTGGCTGTATGTTTGTGTGTGTGTGTGTCTATCTGTGTATGTGTGTGAGTGTGTCTGTGTGTGTGCACGTGTGTCTGTCGCTCTGTGTGTTGTAAGTTTAATGATGTGGGGTGTCTTCCTCTTCCTTGCGGGGATTGGTTCTCTTGAACCTGGAGACCCCCCCTCCCCATTCAGCTAGCTTGGCTGGCCAGCAAGCCTCAGGGATTTTTCTGACTGTAAGGGTATGAGCCACTCCCCTGACTTTTTAACATGGAGTCTTATACTCTGAGCTCAGGCCAACACTGTACCAACTCAGCTATCATCCGTGTCCGCCCGGCCCCCATCTGTTTTCTCTCTCGCAGTACTGGGGATTGAGCATAAGGTCTCCCTCATGCTAGACAAGTGCACTGAGCTATCCCAGTCATTCCTACTCTACTGTGCTGTTCTCAGGTTTAGAATACAAACAGTCCCCATTCAACAATCTTCCACACCGTGGGGTCCTCCTTGTTGCCCCTGTGAAAGACCATATATTCCAGGACAGCAGTTCCCAACGTTTAAGTTTCAAGATCTCCCTTAGCTCTTTAAATGAGGAACTTAGAGACTTTGTTTATAATGATATCTCAATGTATACTATATTCAAACTTAAAGCCAAGGAGTTGAGGACTCCAGTCTTGCATGTTCGAGGCCCTGGGTTCAACTCTTAATATTGAATTAAAAGCAAAGTAAAAACGAAATAGTAACAGATAACCACTGATGTGAAAAGTAACTTTTCCGAGGCTGGCCAAGGCTCAGTGGTGGAATTCACCACTGGTATGTTCAAGGTTCTGGGTTTGATCTCTAGCACTAATTTAAAACAGATTTCCATAGTCAAAAGAAAAAGGAAGAATCATTTAATTTCTTTATTTTCAGACCTCTGCAATACCAGTTTGGTAGATCCTCATCAGTCTGTCTTCATACGCTGTTGGGGGAGAAATTAGGAAAATCAGACTTTAATTCTTTTATTTATGTTTATATTATTGTTTTTGAGACAGGGTTTCTTCATTTAACAGTTCTGGCTGTCCTGGAATTCACTTTGTCTCTGTAGACCAAGCTGGCTGCAAACTCACAGAGGTACCTGCCTTTGCCTCCTGAGTGCTAGGATTAGAGGTGACCTTGGACCCTAAACCCAACTTGTTTCAGCTTTGCAGAGCTGGGGTTACAGACCTGTGCTGCCACACCTTACTGTGGCAATTGGCAGTTCCGTGTATCCTTGGGCCTTACCAGCTGTGGCAGTCACTTCCTAGCTGTGGAGAGCATGCTCTTGTTATTGCCAAAGCCGTCACCATTTAATTGGTCTCAGATTCTGACTTGAACAAGTAACATCTGAGTCTGTGTGGTGCCAGGAAATCGGATATATTCTAAACTACTCTTGAATGTATGTTTCTAGGTAACCTGAATTCATTGCTGTTGGGTGATGGAAGACACGCTAAGGTATTGTTTAAAGCAAAGTAATAGTGGCTGAGATCTTCCATGCACCTTACAAGGGGTCTTCACATTTCAATCTTGGAAATGAGTATTGTTAATTGTAATACGGCAGTCTTTTCAATAAAGTCCTGATCTTTATTTCATATAAAATTTTTTGTAGTTGGGTGGTGGCACACCTTTAGTCCAAGCACTCGGGAGGCAGAGGCAGGTGGATCTCTGTGAGTTTGAGGATAGCCTGGTCTACGAAAGCTAGTTCCAGGACAGGCTTCAAAGCTATAGGAAAGCCCTGTCTTGAAAACCACTAAATAAATAAATAAATTTTTCATGATCCGAAATAAAGCTTGGTTGGTGAGTAATTAAAAAAAATGTCAGTAAATCTCTTACTAAAAGTAGTATTCTGGCCAGCCCTCTTGGGCAGGCCATTTTCCCAAGCCTTTCTCTGATTTGTCCTTAAATTTATATTATAGTAAAACTCTTTTTTTAGTTTTTCAGACCAGGATTTCTCTGTAACAGCCCTGGCTGTCCTGGAACTTACTTTGTAGACCAGGTTGGCCTCTAACCCACAGAGATCCACCTGCCTCTGCCTCCCAATTGATGGAATTAAAGGTGTGTGACACCACCACCCAGCCAAAACTCTTCCTTCCTTCCTTTCTTTCTTCCTTCCTTCCTTCCTTCCTTCCTTCCTTCCTCCCTTTTTCTTTTTTCCCCCCAAGATCATAGAGTTTCTCTGTAGTCATGGCTGTCCTGGAACTCACTCTGTAGACCAGATTGGCCTCAAACTCAGAGATCCGCTTGCCTCTACCTCCCAAGAGCTGAGATTAGAGCCGTGTGCCATGACATAAAACCTTAATAAACTCCCAACTATGCTTTAAAAAATTGCTCTATAGGGCGTGGTGCACACTTCCAATCCCTGCACTGAGGCAGAGGCAGGAGGCCGACTGAGTCTGAGGCAAGCCTTGTCTACATAAGAATGTCCCACGCTGAAAGCAGCTAATTCATCATAGACCTCTGAACCATAATAGTCTAGAGGAGACGTTCTTCCTGCTCAGTGTGACAAAAGGCCCTACCTCCAAGGGCATTCTTGGGACGTCAGGGGGAAGAATGGGACTTCTGGTATAATTAGATGCTGTTCTCTTTATAGAAAAGATTGGTTTCCACACTGTAGCCCAAACTGGCTTAGAATTCACTTTGTAGTCTGCGCTGGCTTCAACCTCATGGTACTCATTTTGTGTTAGTCTCCAGCGTGCTGGGAATATAGGAAGAAGCTGTCGCTCCAAATCATACAATAACATGGTTTTATTCAAATCAGATAAGAAGGCAAACTCTTGCTGGGTGGTGGTGCCATGTGCCTTTAATCCCAGCATACAGGAGGCAGAGGCAGCCGATCTCTGTGAGTTCGAGGCCAGCCTGGTCTACAGAGTGAGTTCCAAGACAGCCAGGGCTACACAGAGAAACCCTGCCTCAAAAAGAAGGCAAATTATGTTATTGTGTAAAATAATTATGGTATGTCTAAGTATTATTCTCAAAATAATTTGAGGGACCTGGGACTATAGTTTGGGAATCATTGTTTTAGGTTTGCCTCTCGTGTGATCATAAGTCTTGAACCACTACAAAGATAATTTGTTTATATATTTATTTTGAGACAGGACTTGACTCTGTAGCCCTAATGGCCTGGAACTTGCAGAGATCTGGCTGCCTCTACCTTCCAGATGAGTGCTAGTATTAAGGGCATTCACAACCATGCCCGGTTGAGGTGAAGTTTATGCACCTGCTGTATACGATGCATGTATTAAATGATGATGCATAGGAACCACCATCCCCTGCTGCTTTGCTGTGTGTCTGCTTCTGTGCTAGGGGATAAGTGTCTGTGCCTGTCTGTTTTACATAGAATCTGGCTAGGTAGCCCAGGCTGGCCTTGAATTCATGATCCTCCTGCCTTTCCCAGTCCTGGGATTGCATGTGTTATTTTACTTTCATTATATTAGTTGAGCTCATAGGTTTTCTAAGGTAGGAATCCCCATGTTATGTGGGGGGAAGGCAGAAGCCAGAAGTTTAAGTGTGCTTTTTCAAACTCACATCAGAACCAGGATTCAAAGCCAAGCTCCAGAGACTGTGCTTTTCCTCGGAACCACTGAGTGACTAGACAAAGCCAAGGCAGAATTAGCTGCTGTCTCTTCTGGGGGACTAAGGACACTACGTCTAGGACAGTGGTTCTCAGCCTTCCCAGTGCCGCGACCGTTAATGTCACGGTGACCTCCAACTGTGAAATTATTTTCATTGATACTTCATCACTAATTTTGCTACTGTTTTGAGTCATAATGGAGATATCTGTATTTCCATGGTCATAGGCGACCCCTGTGGAAGACTTGTTTGACTCCCAAAAGGGTCACAACCCCCACAGGTTAAGAACCATTGCTCTAGGGAGAAGGTACAGGAGCGCACAGGGCACCTGCTATTGTTGGGTATCACAGTCATCTTGTTTTGACCTCTGCCCCTTCTCCTTTGCCCTGTCAGGATGCCCTCTCGGGATCAGCTGGTGCAGCAGGTGTTGCGGGATCTGCAGGAGGCAGTGGAGTCCGAGGGCCTGGAAGGTCTCATCAGTGCCGCCCTGGAGGCCAAACAGGTCTTATCTTCCTTCACCCTCCCGGTCTGTCAGAAGGGTGGCCTTGGGCCCCAGGTGCTGGAGGTGGACTCTGTGGCCATGAGCCTGTATCCAGAGGATGCTCCGCAGAACATGCTGCCCCTGGTGTGCAAGGGGGAGGGGAGCCTGTTGTTCGAAGCAGCCAGCATGTTGTTGTGGGGGCACACGGGCCTCAGCCTGGAGCTGCGGGCCCGCACCGTGGTGGAGATGCTGCTGCACCGGCACTATTACCTCCAGGGCATGATCGACTCCAAGGTGATGCTGCAGGCTGTGCGCTACTCCCTGTGCTCCGAGGAGTCCCCTGAGATGACCAACCTGTCCTCTGCCACACTGGAAGCCATCTTTGATGCCGATGTCAAGGCTACGTGCTTCCCCACCAGCTTCTCCAACGTGTGGCACCTGTATGCCCTCGCGTCCATCCTTCAGCGCAATATCTACTCCATCTACCCCATGCGCAATGTCAAGATCCGACCCTATTTTAACCGCGTTATCAGGCCACGCCCCTGCACCCAGGTGACCTCCATGTTGCACATCATGTGGGCTGGCCAGCCCCTCACTAACCACCTCTTCCGGCATCAGTATTTTGCCCCCGTGGTTGGGCTGGAAGAGGTGGAGGCTGACGGTGCCGCTACCTTGGACCCCACTCCTCCGATCCTAGGTCCTCTGCTACCACCAGCCAAAACCCTGGAACTGCTCAACCATGAACCTGGCCTTAGTTACTCCCACCTCTGTGACCGCTCCAGCATCACGAAGAGCACCTTCTACCGCTGGCGGCGGCAGACCCAGGAGCACCGGCAGAAGGTGGCCACCCGCTTCTCTGCCAAGCACTTCCTGCAGGACAGCTTCTACCGTGGGGGCCTTGTGCCATTGCAGCAGTTCCTGCAGAGATTCCCTGAGATCTCCCGTTCTACCTACTATGCCTGGAAGCACGAGCTGCTGGGCTCTGGTGCCTATTCAGCTCTGGTCCCGGCTGCTCCACCCAAGGAGGCCCTGGCTGTGCCAGAGCTGGAGAGTCTGCCAGGGAAGAAGGCTGCCGAGGGGCTGGGGTGCTCCCCAGCGGCAGCGGCTATGTCAAGCCCTAGCATGGTCTTAATGCAGCGCGCCAAGTCGTACCTGGAACATTGCATCTCTCTGAACAAACTGGTACCCTATCGCTGCTTCAAATGCAGGTTCCCTGGCATCTCGAGGTCCACCTACTATAACTGGAGGCGGAAGGCCCTCAGGAGGAGCCCCAGTTTCAAGCTGGCTCCAGTTCTTGAAACCACTGAGTCTCTACCCCCAATAGATGTTGGGGACGGGGCCCTGCTCTCTTCCAAGGGTGAGGTGAGAGAAGAGGGGACCGGGAAAGCAGCAGCTGGAGGCCCTCCAACTTCCCAGCGGCTCCTACCCACAAGGATGCCCCTGTCTCGTTGGCAGAGGCGACTACGCAGGGCTGCCCGCAAGCAGGTACTCAGTGGGCACCTGCCTTTCTGTCGCTTCCGCCTCCGCTACCCTAGCCTGCTACCCTCCACTTTTTGGGTATGGAAAAGTCTTTCCCGGGGATTGCCCAGGATGCAGGCCTCCTCTTTGGGCCGAAGGAGGCAGAAGCCAAAATATCGGCAGAAGCCAGATGAATGGCAGATGGAAGCTGTTGAGAATGTAACATCTGTGATTGGTCATCAGGTGGAGACACTGCCAGTGGTCGCTTCTTCAGAAACCTCCCCAGAAGATGCCCAGAGAGGGCCTTCTAGAGAGGGGGTCATCCAGGAGACAGCTATGACCCAGGGCCAACCCCACAGTGGGTCCCTGTCAGGCCAGACTGTGGCGGCGGCGGCGGCGGCAGCAGCAGGTGGCAGGGATGGCCAGGTGCTAGTGATGGACATGCTGAGCACCACAAGGTTCAAGGCCCAAGCCAAGCTGTTCCTGCAGAGACGCTTCCAGTCCAAGACTTTCCCCTCCTACAAGGAGTTCCAAGCTCGCTTCCCCCTCACTGCCCGCTCCACTTACTATATGTGGAAGCGGGCACTCTTTGAAGGCCTCACGCTTGTTGATGGCTGACAGAGAGGTGACACAGAGCCTGAGAAGGGGAGACTTAAGGTGTCTCCTGGCTTGGCCTGGATGCCCTTCGCTCTGTCTTCCATTATTTCCTGGCTTGGGTGGGGAGGAGGAAATCGACCACCTATTCTAATGAAAGCTACAGGAGTATCAATTGACTCTTGGTTGTTGGCTGGTCATATATTTTTATTGCGTTTAGTTTTTTTTTTCCCATTAAGGTGGGTTGGGCAGGACCCCCTTGCTGGTGGTTGTGCCACGGCTGCCTGTAGCTCTTCCTGGTCCCACAAAGAGTATCACAGCATGGCCATTCTCTCCGATGAGGCACAATATGTCTTTATTTTTTTTTTTTTTTTTTAGGGTGTGGTCCCTTTTTCTCAAAGATGTCTTCCAAAGAAACAAGGGATTTGAACGTGAGGCTGGTGTGTGGCTTTGTCTCATGCCGCCGGTGGAAAAGGTGCCAGGCTCTTCATGATCATCAGCTGGACTTCATAGAATAAAACCACGGTGGCCTCTAAGCCAGGGAAGGCCCCTAGGCACTGGAAACCCTAGAGAAGGGCCTGCTCTGCTCCCTCTGCTGGGGGTCTCTGCCGGTTGCTGCCAGCCTGGCTCACTGTTGGGGACCTGTCTTGGAGCCAAGCCTCCTCAAACACTGAGTCACATCTTGGGCCAGGAGCCATAGGGTTACAAAGCTGATGGGAGACTGAATTTTCTTTGTCCAACGGCAAAGTTGGAAAACCAAAAAAATAAAGTGATGTCTTGCTCTCAAGCTGCCTGAGGTCTCTGGGATTTGTTCTGCTAAGATGTGACTGCCTGGGGGCTGGAAAGATGGCTCAGTGGTTAAGAGCACTGACTGCTCTTCCAGAGGATCCAGGTTCAATTCCCAGCACCCACATGGCAGCTCACAACTGTCTGAAGATCCAGTTGCAGGGGATCTGACACCTTCACACCAATGCACATAAAATAAAGTTAAATAATAAAACCATAAAAAATATTTAAAAAAAAAAGTTGTGACTGCCTGTTTCCAGGTTCCCCTTCAGTTTAAGGGGTTGGAACACTATTTCTATCTTCTGAGAGTGCATGCTTGGGACCACAGCTGGTGGGACTCTTAGGAACTGGATCTAGAAGTGACAGTTTGGTCTGGCTGAATAAAATACGTCCCTCTCCACATACTAGGTATGCCAGGCAGGCTGGGCCTAAGGCAGATGAGGGCTTTTGTCTCTTGGGCATGAGTGAGAGATTCTCTTTGGTCCTCTCAGTTTCTTGTAGCTGCTGTCACTTATGTGAACCTGACTTTTCCTTATACCCTACATCCAATCCATCATGAAGTCCTGCCGACTGTGGTGCTGGGAATGGAATCCATTACTGAGTTACATCATCAGACCCTTTCTTAAAATCCAAATTCTGCTGGGCGGTTTTGGCGCGCAGCTTTAATCAGGAGGCAGAGGCAGGTGGATTGCTGTGAGTTCGAGACCAGCCTGGTCTACAGAGCTAGTTCCAGGACAGGCTCCAAAGCTACAGAGAAACCTTGCCCCCCCCCCAAAAAAAAATCCAAATTCTATTCTGAATCTTCCCTTCTTTCTGCTCAACACAACTTCCCTCCTTCCCTTTCCATATGGCCCGATTTTCAGAGGGATTTTGATGAAATTAGATCTTCCTGCTGTCCCGTGTCTGTGGCTTCCTTTTCTTCACAAAGTTCCTCCCTTGAGAAAGGCCTTATAAAGTGGCCCCCACCTCTCTTCCCCCCTCTTCACTATGCTTGTGCTCCCTGCTGTGTTCCTGTCTGACTGCCTCTGATGTGAGTGTGGCTTCTCTGTTCTGCTCCGGTACTTCCCACGCTTGCCCCTTTGGTCTGAAATGCTCTTCCCCCTCCCTCTTCCTCCTTGCTCCTTCCTCTCCTCATCTTCCCTTCACCCCTATCTTCCCCCTTTTAAAGTCTGTTAGTTTTAGACACCGTCTCACTGTGTAACCATGGTTCTGTAGACCAGGCTGGCTTTGAACTCAACAGAGATCTGCCTGCTTTTGCACACACACACCCCCAGGTACCGGATTAAAGCTGTGCAAACCCAGGCCCCTTCTGACCTCAGCATCCAGAACGCTGGGATTACAGGCGTCCACCACGGCAGTCAATTCCAATTCCAATGCTTTTCCCTGTTAGCTACACAGCAGACACTGCATCTCTGAGTCACTATAACATATAACATCACCCTTTTGCGTTCTCTGGTAGGTTCTTATTTCTACTGTTGCTTTCTTGTTTGGATGCCCCCATAAGATTGAAAAACCATTTTTTTTTCTTTTGCTAACAGCACTGAATTCTATAGATGGTAGATTAATTCTAGGCACACAGTATGTGCTAATATTTGAAAAGAGAAAGAATGACATGGGTTTTTCTTACTGTTAATCCTGTGAGATCTGATTTTTGCAAACCTAATCAGAAATACTTAATACTTCTCATAGGCCAGTTTTCCCTCCGTCTTTACATCCACCCTGTTAATCTGTGCCGGCAGCAGCGTGCCTTTATATTGTTTTGTTTTCCAAATCGACTCTGCCTCCACTCAAATTCCAAACTAGTAAGGGCCCCCAGAGTTCAGCCCCTGTCTACCACCGAGCTTATTCCTCACCCGAATGGCTCTTCTTTCTCCCGTATGCTTCTCTCTCTTCCCACAGGACTCACCCAAGGGTCCTGTTAATGTTTGTTGATTTTACGCTCTTGACTGAGGTCTGGGGTGTCCACGGAAGCCCTGCTACAGCTGAGGATTTGGTGAAAGGATTGGATTGGAGGAATTTAATCTAACTTGCAGTACCAACCTTTAGCCAGCAGGTGGCAGTCCAGTGCAATCCATTTTGGCCATGAATAGCCTCAAGGTCCCTTCTGAAATGGCCGAAACTCTACATTTTCTTGCCTACACTAGGCACCAGAGCAGGCCCCTTGAGGCTGGGAGTAGAGTCTCCTAGTGAGACCTAAAAAACATGGAATTTTGGATGCAGCTCAATGGATAACCATGTACCCAGTGTGGGCGATGCAAAACACACCCGGGGATTGCTACCTGGAGGAAAGGGGGAGGGGCTTGTCAGGAATGTGGATTCCAGAGTCCCACCCAGATCTACTAATTTCCACCTTAGATGTGTCTCCTTTCCAATTAGAAGACAGGATCACAGCCACACTCACGGTATAGTAGGCATCATCCAGCTCCCCATACTAAGAGATGAGTTAGGAGCCGCTCGGAGTCTGAGTTCTCGAGTTGTGGAGGGTGGGCAAATGCCTGAGGCGCTTGCTCGGGGGCTACTCTCCAGTAAGACACACTAGGGTCCTGAGATGGGAAGACCATTTTATCCAAGCCCAGCATGGATCCTTAAACTTACAGCAGAAATTTTAACTTCTGTTGGGGGGGAATGCAAATAAGGTGTGGGCGTCATTGGGAAATGACTGTGCCTGCAGGGCTCGGTTTACTAAGGTACTGAAGAACCGTTCCTTTTCTAATCTGCCTAGAAAGGCAAAGGGACCTAAGCCACGCTCAGTCTCACTGTACAGCCCTGCTTGTCCTGGAACTTAACTATGCAGACCCAGCTGGCCTTGAACTCGGGGATCCCTGACTGCCTTTGCTCCCAGGTGCTGGGACTAAAGCCATGCACCACCAACCTCACCAGGCTTCATGGCATTTGTTGAAATTACTTGTGGCTCATTGGTGCCACTTTCCACCCTGACTGGATACTTATGAAGAAGAAAAAGAAAACCTAGTGCAACATTCTATGTGGCTCTAAGGGAAAGTTTTATTTTGTTTATTTAAATTTATTGTTTTACGTGTTTGGGTGTTTTGTCTGCATGTATGTCTATGTACCACATGTCCGCCTGATCCCCCGCAGAGGCCAGAAGAGGCTGTCAGGTCCCTTTGGACTAGAGTTATAGACAGTTGTGAACCACCACATTGGTGCTGGGAATCAGAACCCCATCCTTTGGAAAAGCAGCTAGTGCTCCTAACTGCTGGACCATCTCTCCAGTCACCCAGAAAGAATATTTTAAATATAAAAGTTTCCCCCAGCCGGGCAGTGGTGGCGCATGCCTTTAATCCCAGCACTTGGGAGGCAGAGGCAGGCGGATCTCTGTGAGTTTGAGACCAGCCTGGTCTACAAGAGCTAGTTCCAGGAGAGGCTCCAAAACCACAGAGAAACCCTGTCTCGAAAAAAAAAAAATTTTCCCCCATCACTCCCGAGGCAGAGGCAGGTGGATCGAGTTTGAGGCCCACCTTCAAGGGGATCTCTGTAGGTTGCATGCCGGCAGGGCTATGTAGTGAGACTCTGTCTGAAGAAACTTTGACCCTACGTCAGGTGAGATGGCTCCGTCAGGGCATTTGCTGTTAAATCTGAGGGTCTGAGTCTGGTCCCTGGGACCCACATGATAGAGAGAACTGACCCCGACAAGTTGTCTTCTGGTCTCCACGCAAATGATGTGACACACGCCTACAACCACACCAATAAACAAACAAATAAATGTAATTTAAAAATCAGCCTAAAGATTAACGGGATTAATTTTCCCTTTTATTTCCGCATTTCCCGCTGAGGAAATCAGTCTTTTCACGGAGATTATCTTGTCTGTCATGGCACACGATTTGCGGCTCAAATAGTTCTCTTTGAGAACGAGCCAGGTGTGGTGGTATATGCCTGTAATCTCAGCCTCTGCGAAGCAGAGGAGGAGGCAAGCCTGGGCTACATAGATAAGGATACTCCATTTCAAAAGAAAATCAAAGGCTGAGAAAACCTTTCTTGGGATTAATGGTGGCTCTCAGGCCCTGAGTGGCCGCTAACTTCCCTGCCTGGAAGGCTCAGTTGTGCCTCCACCTCACCAGCTGCCACTCAGCTGTTCCTGCTCAGTCCCGCTAAGTCCCTCTTCTCTGGGTAATCTGCTCTATAGCATCCAGCTATCGGTTGAGCTGGCCAGGGGCTAGCCTGGTATATTCTCTTCTACTTCTCCATTCCATGTCTGTGGGAGCAGCACAGGCTTTGCCAGATACCCAGAGAATCCTTTCTTTAGTCCATCCTGCCCTCTCCACTGAGCAAAGGTCTTATACCACTCCTATACGGTCTAGAAGCTGGCAGATATAATCCATTCTCATCCAGGGACCTCTGGAGGGGTCACTAGCTTCAATTTCTCCAAAGTTGTTGGCATAAGCCTCTGTGGTTGGCACATCACATAGGTTTCTCTCCTTTCTTGCGTTGGTGTTTTACCTGCATGTATGTCTGTATAAGGGAACCATATTCCCAGAAGTGGAGTTACAGACACTTGTGAGCTGCCATGTGAGTACTGGGAATCGAACCCAGGTCCTCTGGAAGAGGAGTCAGTGTTCTTAACTACTGAGCCATCTCCCCAGCCCATAGGTTTCTATATGAAATGTGCAAACTGAGTGAGTTCACCAGGAAGCAGGTGAAGGTTTTGCCTGGTTTCTGGATTCATCCTGATCATCCCAACCTATAGCTGCTCGGGAGGCTGGGGCGGGGGAGGTGGGACACTGGGGTGTAGCTTAGCGGTAGAGTGCTGGTTTGGTACATGCAAAACAC